CCCTGCCTTTTAAGGAACTCCTGCCTTCCAGGAGAAAGCATTGTCTTCCAAGAGTCCTATGAATTGAACCTGCGACTTCTGAACTGTCCGCCTTGAAGAACTCCGTCCTTTGCCAGTTGAAATGTGCTCCATGGGGCTAAATCTTAACCTTTTTAACATGTAAAAGATGGATATAGTTAAATTGTTGTTAATCAACCCCTAACCTGCCACCAAACTTTTTTGGTAACGTACCGCGTGATTAGTGAATATTAATTAGAGAAATTTGTAGTGGAGGCTTCAAAGTTTTCAAAATAGTGCAAATAGGTCCCCAAATCTTTAAATTATAGAGGATACACCCCAAATCTTTTAAAAAGGTGTGAAGAAGGACATCTGAACGATTTTTATTCAACGTTAAGCATCTGACCATAATTTGATCATTGTAGAATGCGTAAAATGTCTTGTAACCTTTAATTAACTAAAATTGGGAAAATTTGCAATGGATATCATCAACCTTTTAAAAATATGCGGCGTGGTTTCAAAACTTTAATAAATATGCACAAAAGGGAATTTCAACGTCCCGAAGTATGTTTTACCAAAAATTCAACACTTGCAAAAGAAGCACTTAATTTAACCATTTCTAAAGCATGCACTATTGTCCTATTTGACCCCATTTTCTAAACCTCATTTTTCTTCAAATTCATATTCAATTATACGTTCTTCCAATAAAATAATTTAAATGTGAATTCATAATTTTTTTAACTTTTTAACCACGTATTATTAAAAAAAAAGCCACTTTTCACAAAATCTGTTCTCAAAAATATCTCTATCGAATAGGTGCTAAATGAAAGATTAAGAATCGACTCACCTTTTAAAAATTGGGGATCAAATTTCTATCTAGACGATATGTTGATGACTAATTTTGAAAATTTGTTGTGCAGAGAAAAATAAATGCAATTAGTTCAAGCACTACCAACCCCCATCCTCTCTTAACGAATAAATAAACCTATACAATGACGTCCGCAAATCCAGACCGTTGAATAAAATAAAAATCCAGGGCCAGGATTAATCTTCAACAAACCCCCTCTCTCTACTGACCACCTTCCTTAATACCATTCCACCTACCAAAATTTGTATAATCCAATGCCACCTTCTATTTAAAGCCACAAGCTCATGTACCTGAATTCAGGAATTCCCTACAAAACACAAGCAGCCCTTCTCCTCTCCTCTCTATTTCTGACCATCTGATCATTTGATCATAAATATGAGTACTGCTGAGGTCGAAAATGGTCACTCGAGTGGCAAACTTTTGAATTTTTGTATCGAAGATCCGTTGAACTGGGGAACAGCTGCTGAGTCATTGAAAGGTAGCCATCTAGATGAGCTGAAGCGTATGGTGGAGGAATTCAGGAAGCCGGTGGTGAAGCTCGGAGGAGAAACCCTGACCATTTCTCAAGTGGCGGCGATTGCCTCCCGGGATAATGCTGTCAAGGTGGAGCTGGCCGAGGCTGCCCGGGCCGGCGTCAAGGCTAGCAGTGATTGGGTTATGGAGAGTATGAATAAAGGCACAGATAGTTATGGTGTCACAACTGGTTTTGGTGCCACTTCACATAGGAGGACCAAACAAGGTGGCGCTTTACAGAAGGAACTTATTAGGTAACCAAATTTTTACCCAATTTTTGTTTTGTATAGATATAATCATATAGTTGCATAGAATATTTCCTAGTATTGTTTTCGATTTTATCGTGTCATGTTAATTTTACTCTTGCAAATATTATATGCGACACAATTATTACATGACATGTTTTGTAAGGTAAAATGAGTCAAAATCGTTTTGGTTGAATACGGTCAAATTCTATATCAACACGCTTATCATGAATAAAATTAAAAATTAATATATGAAAAGTGAAAATTCTGCAAAGTTAGTTTAATTAAATATTTTTTTTTTTTGGAGTTATAGATTTAGTGAAGATTTAAATGAGATCCACGAAATATTAAAATCTCAATTATTATTTTTAATCATAATCTAATATTTGATCCAGCTGTGAATAGATATATCACCTACCGCTTCTTAACTTAGGTAGTGTTTATTTAGCACCTATTTGACACTGCTAAAAATTAGATTTCATAGAAGTTGACGAAATTTGTAATTAAAAAGAATATAAAAATTATGGATCCTATGAAGTAATTGCACAAAATGAGTTTTAGAAAATGGGAGAACGTGGCTTAGTAAGCAAAACTGAATGAAAAGTCAAAATACGCGTGGCAAGTTTCTGACCGTTGGCTGATAATGGAACTTTATTTTCTTATTCAAGAAAATAATATTAAGATCCCGGTTTGTACTTAAAAAAATATTTAGACACATAGTCCCCAATATAAGACGACTTATCTTTTGTGGTAAGTCACTGTACCATTTCAGTTTGGTGAGTCCTATGTTTTGAATGACCTAATTATATGGTCTGATGATGTATTTGACTGTAACAGGTTCTTGAATGC